TGAGTTCTAAAGACCGTTTTGAAGAATGTCATGAAGAACGACTTTGTTTCTTAGCTTTGATTTTGACTTATGTGTTTATATCCTGCTGACTGTCTAAAATTTTCTCTTTTACTAAACCCTTTATCCGTTCCCCTCACCATTTAATTTCATTTATAAACAGACATAGCCCTCTATTTTTAGTGTATTGTTCATGAATGCGTAATACCAGATGTTGCATTTAATTTCTTCGCAAGCTTTTTCATATGTTTATTTTTAAGAAGGAAATTGTATAATAGTGATATTTGAATAAATTTTTGGTATCTTTACAATTTAATATTGATATTGTACTTAGTCTTCCATTCAGTTCCGTTAGCCTGTTCATGGTAATTATCTCATTGATCAAAGTAGTTTCTTTGATCATCTTACAACTACAGTGGCACTTATTTCATGAACTTAATTTCGTTCCACAATTCTGGAGACAATAGCCATATTTGTGTTTGTGTGGAGAATAGCCATGGTTGTATTTGCTGTTCAATGCAGAGTTCGGAAACAAAAACAAAATGTTGCCAAACACTTCTATCTGAAAACCAAATTCACAAACAAAAGCACTCATGTATCAAGGCACAACTGCACTTTCTGTGTTCCCAAGATAGTGACTTCTTGACCTCACAAAGCAACTAAACACCTCATCACTTTATGGTCACACGCTCATATATATTCATTCCCAGGCCAAAGGGAATTTATGATGCATATGCTCTATCTTGACTTCAAATTCTCAGGATATATTTCTTTAAAAAGATGTTGGTAAATCAGTGTCCTCGTCTGAAAATGAGAAGGGTTCTTTGGGGGAGTATCTGAAAAGAGTGTAGACATTAGAACCAGCCATCTGCACTGAGAACAGAAACACGCATGGTCATATTTGATTCCTTTCCTCCCGTTTTTGCCATCAAAAAACACTCTAAAAACTCTGGTCCGTGTCATTTCCAGGATTTTTCTCATGTCTTCTTTTCCTGGTAAATGTTTCCTTCCTTAGTTCTCATTCCCCTTAATGGGAAAAACACTTTTTCCTCTCTTTATCAGTATATGTTTGCAGTATGCAGTGCCCTCTTCCCGGGGAGCTGGTCCACATGCATGATCCAGGTTTATCATTTCCTTCCCTCCTGTGCACGCTCCTCCTCCACCTGAAGAACCATTTGTAGGGTTTTTCCTTCTACACGTGGGGAATTGCGTAGTGCTAGTGATCACTTGAAACCTCTACCCTAATTATTTTGGATTTATCTCTTCACAGGTTTTTCCCTATGGTTCTAAGACCATTTCTTCTAGTAGTCTTTTCCCAGTCCTAAACTCTAGATCTCAGGAAAGTCTGGAGCTCAAGACACACAGGAGTCCTTGGCTAGTAGTATGGATGAAAGGTCATGCAGTGAGCTCACCACGGGGACATTCTGTGAGGACAGGAGAAGGACAGGAGGGAGCCCAGGAAAAGCCAACCCACGAAGAGGCCTGAGAAGTATACCTCCTAGACTGCACCTAGCAGCATTTACTGGGAAACATATCCAAATCGTTACATTTTTAGTGTGACAGTTTTACTCTTGTACCCCTGCAGGAGAAGCAGCAGCAACAACTTGTTAGCATGTTGCAAATGTATCCCTGTGGCACTGCATAGTCTCAGATAAAGATAACTATTTTCACATTAGTAACGACTGCCATAAACCAAAGGGTAGATTTTAATTTTAACTTTCCCTTAGTGACAAAAACTGTCAAAGTCAAACCAAATGGAAGGCCCAGTAAAGATGGCGATACCTCACAGAATGTAGCCACAAGCAACATTTATCATCAGGCATGGCGGTACATGCCTGAAATCTCGGCGAAAAATGTGGTTTTTTCTTTCCTTTTGAGACAGGGTCTTGCTGTGTAGTTCAGGCTGGCCTTAAACTCACCATGTAACCCAGACTGGCCTCAAACGCACGGTGATCCTACTGCCTCAGCCTCAGAAGTGCTGTAATTACAGGCCCCCCCCCACACACACAGCTAAAATGTGGTATTTTTGACAGTGGGAACTGTATATCTTTTAACTTCCTTGTACTAACAGACTATCAAACATCTACTAGCCTGCTTAGAAATTTCTCAAATGAATGAAAGAAGTCAGATTCTACCTCAGAAAAGGTAACCAGGCTTCTTAAAAGCAGATGTATATTTTATGTGAAGAAGAGGAATCAGATTAGTTATGAGCACCTACTATGTGCTAAGGAGACACCTCATATTGTTCTAATTTATCCCTTCAGTGAACAGTTGGCATATGCAACACTATCTACATTTTACAGGATAATAGTGAGGATTCTAGTTAAGTGTCTCATTCAATGTCACCCAGCTAATAAATTGTAAGTCTGCAATTTGCTCTTAAATTGACTTCAATTCCATGCACTGTCCATGACACCACACAGCCCAGTATAAAAGTGGCTAGATGTTAGCATGCCATGAGACTAGTCTTTGAAGATATCCTCAGAATTTTTTGAAGAGTTCCTAATGACTCATTAGATCTAGCACGGTTTTCTTTGGAGGAAGATGGTAGATTCTGAGCCAGGGTCTCTCTGTGTACATCAGGCTGGCCTTGAACTCATGATCTTCCTGCATTTGCCCCTCAGATGTTAGGATGATCAGCTTTTGCCACCATACTCTACTAGCGTATTTTTAAAATGTGATTGTCCATGTAACGAACTCATTTCTTTGTGTAAACATTACTAAAGATAGCCTCATTCTTGGGAAAAGTATGTATTAGAAGGAAATATACAAAATATAAATTTTACATAATAATTACTGAAATACTAATGTTAGGAAAACTAGGTTTTTTTTAAAAAAAAATTGCAAGCAAGTTCATTTGAGACAGACAGGTTTGGGATGTTTGTTGTTTGTTCAATGTCATATAGCTTAAGCTGTTACACAAAAATGATCTTTTTAGGTTTCAACTTCAGTACACACACATGCATTTAACACTAGTCCAGTCTTTCATTAATTTACAGTGATTTTGAGTTGATAATGCTTAGGTTAGGGAACAAAATGTAGGAATTTTCTCAATTCTTATAAATCTGTGGAAACAGTTCCTGGTAGTCAACTAGCAAAAGCATTCCTTTGTGTGGTTTTGAGAGTACTGTGAATTTTTTTTTTTTTAAATAGGAAGAATGTATTGAGAGAAATAAACCAGAAAATGAGTTGCCTGCCAAACCCGTTTCTCAAGGGTGCTTACTGAGCAAAGCCACAAGGTGACGTGGACTTAAGGTGGGATGGAACTAAATCAATCAATAAGATTACAAGCATAGTCGCTTGGGTAATATTGATCAAACAGCAAATCATAAGGTGGGTGTGAGCTAGGATAAAACTATGGTCAACCAGCAGGTGCATGACAAGTATAGTTGCTAGGGAAACACTGACTAAACGGGGTTCAAATAGAGAACCAAATCATGTAGCGAATGCACACGGCAGATGAGGACTTTCCCGGAAGGCGTGTGTTAAGGAGGTTTGGTCCCCCACCCCACAGTGACTGATACCTACCTAGAATGTGAGTCCTCACTGTTCATCCCAGGGGGCTTAGATGGCGGAGCAGGTCCTTTTCTTCAGTGAATTCATCACCAGCCACAGGTTTCTGCACCGACGTCTCCAGGGCCCAGCTCTGTATTTCTACCTAACTTAGCTATCTATAATATTCCCCATCTGAGAATTTCCAAGATAGATGTTTGATCTATCTTATCAAGTGTACGGGACAGACTAATTAGAAACAAAGAATAGCTACATTAAACAATGACTTTACTCCCAAACCATACAAACGTCATTCAACTTGGCACTCCCAATACCAAAGTACATGACTATTTTCATATCAGCACTGTACAGAATCCACCAATGGGAAAACAAGATTGAGTTGTAAAATGAGGTCTTTAACTGAGCTCCCTAAATATCACCACAGAGGTTTTTATTCTTAAGGTTCCACGATAAATTAGGGATGGTGCTGTTTTCCTGTAACAACACATTTTTTAAAAAGAAAACAAAATGAATCCATGCTATTGGAACCTCACTGGCCAAACTGGATGATAAAGCACATTGGTGAAGCCAGCAAGCAGGTTAAGTGGTTTTACACACCTCGGCTTCTAACAATGTAAATAGATGAGTATGGGTATTTCTAATGTAGAGCAGATTGTCTAACAATTCACATCAATTTAATTAACAGCAAAACCATAAACTATTTGAGTAGTCACTTGGAACTCATGTTAGCCAAATGTGACATACATTCCAGGCAGCCAAGCACCATCTCTTGCCTCGGTGTTCTGAGACAAACATAGCTGTCACGGGTGGTACCTAGCTTTCTCTGTGAGCACCAACACAGCCACAACTCCAGATTCTGGGTCTTCTCCAGAGACTGTTAAGACCAGCAAGCCCAGAAATAGCAGGTTTCTGTCACCTTGTAGTAATTCTAAATATGATAGGACCAGATTGCTCCAGGGTACAGCACATACTGAATTTCATCCCAAGCAGCCAGGAATGCATAGAAAGACAGACAGAGAGAGAGAGAGAGAGAGAGAGAGAGAATGAAGAACTGATTTCCGTACCCTTATTTGGTATCTTCCTTTTAAAGATGGAAAATAAATACCTGCATAAATTCATTGTTTTTCATTGTGCTATTACACTGGGTATCATTAAAAATTCCTTTTTGATGATAAAAATGTAAAAAGGAAGCAAAGCCGAGAGTTTTTAAGAGAAATTGTTGTGCTCGGTTTTATTTACAAATTTTTACTGCACCTCAGTTGTTCTACTTTGTCACCTGAGTTTTCGGTCCTGTGTGTCACTAAGCACTTGTGAACTCCATGACCGTGAATTTTGTGTCCCTTGCAAGGATTACAAAGACCTGGCCAAAGGACGTAGTGTGATAGAATTGAATCATTAATTAAAGTGCATACTTTCTTATTTGTACAGGTATCAAATGAAGACTTGTTAGAATTAATATGCATTATTGAAAATTACATTTGTTTTTTCAGATCCAAGAAATTAGTGGAAGTAATGAGCAATTAAATGACTATGAAGAGGACAGAGTCTCACTCTCTGCACATTTTCCCTGTAAGTCTCCTTACATATTGTGTGTGTCCATGAACGTGCATGCATATGTGTGTGTATGTGTGAGTAACTTTTATATTATGGTTTATATACCAGAAAAGTATCACTGAAGAGGATGTCAAAAGCTATTTCATTAACAGAGTGACTTTTATAATACAGTGAGATGCTACTGCATTTGCTGATTAAAATACTTTAATAATTTCAATGCCTAATAATTAAACAATGATTCTCCTACTCAGAAGAAAATACACAAGTCACCTGATACACATTTCTATTTGACAACTGTATTTTGCAAGTATCTCTTCCACAGGGAGCCATGTTCTTTGCTGACCTCAATTTCCTCTGCCTGCATGGGAAGTGTGGGCTGGACACTAAGTCCTCACTATGATGACACTTGCTGCTCTGTCTTCTCAAGTCTGAGACCAAGTCAGGATCCCCTCCAGCGGCCACGAGGGCACCCTAATGCAGTGGCTTGCTGTCACCTTAGCAGGATGTCTAGTACATGTCTACTACTCAAGGTCTCCAAGTGCAGAGCCCTGCCTCTCCCATCCGCCCACCGGACCTGCTGACTGCAGGGAGCAGGCAGAACTGCTACCTGCGGCCCCACAGCAGCCCCCGTCCCCGGGTCACCTCCCTTCTCTACTCTTCTTCCCTCCCAGCCCACATCCAATCCACACAACACTCCCCACTATACCTTTAGAAATATCCCTGGTGGTCAGCAATCGCTCATCCTCTGTTATTTCACCGGCCACACCGTCCTGGGCCCTGTCCTGGGCTACTGCACTGGACAGTGCTGCAATGGAGGACTTCTCATGCTCACACACACTCGCCACAATGTGTGCAAACATTTTCATTAGTGCAACTCATGAAGGAGGGCGGTACTGGTTTGCAAGCAATATGAGTGTAGATCACACCAAGGGTGATCCAGTCCAAGGAATCTGAGTTGCACTGCTGTTCAGAAAGCCCACGAGCGCAGCAGCCACACCCGTCACCGCTCACACTGCAGTTCCTGAAGGAACTCCTCACACTCTGCACGAAGCCTCAGGACTTTAACTCCTGGCCATCCACAGACCCTGGACAATAAATACACTTGGTTCTCTCTCTAACCAGGCCTCTCAGTGGTGTCCAAGGTGCAGCACTCCACATGCACCGAGCACCTTCTGCTCCCTCCACAGGGCTTCTCCGATGTCTACTTAAATCTTGTCCTTCATGCCAGGAGGCCCAGTCCACTGCTGCTCACTCTTCCTTTCTTTCTTCCACCTGCACCTTAGCATCACTTAACACTGTGTTTCCTGCCCTGTGTTAGTGCTTTATGGTCTCCGCTCTCCTAAAATACACACTGGAGGAGACCAGGACTGGCTTATGTCGCTTTGCTCATATCTGTCACACGTGTGACTGTGCTTAATACATATCCATCGGACACTCACAATTGGAAGTTTTTGCAGTGACAATGACTGACATGCAAACCAAATAAAATTCAAGGCAATGCTTCGCAACTATGCTGTGGAAATCAGAAAACCCCCCCCTCAAAAAAAAACAAGACATAATAGAAAAGAATAGATTTCCCTGAATATATAATTTGTCTTTTGATTTTGTTTAAAATATGTTTTGGCATTCAAATATAAAATTATACTCGGTCAGCTCATCAGTGTGCAGTTCCAACTAATAAAGCTTCATTATCCTAAAAATGTTTTTAAAAATCAGAAAACTCCCTCAAATACTACTGCAAAATATACAAAGGCTAAATATTAAATCAATTCAGCAAGTTTTCTGGTACATACTTTATCATTTAATGTTAACTAAGGTAACAAAGCCATCATTGGTACTGACCATACATGCATCATCATCATATTTAAGCCTCTGGAAAAAATGTTTTTGATAACAAAACATTATTGCAGTAGTTTGTGAAGAAAAATTTACTTCTGCAGTTTGAAAACAAAAACTCTCTCATATATAAAACTGTATGTTTAGGTTCAGCCCCCCAACTTGCATAGAGGGTTACGAAACACAGTCCCTGAGTCAAGCAGTTTCTATTGGCATTGCCAGGAAGGCACAGCACACCACACCCGCTGCCCACCCAACTGTGTGCTCCCGGGACTGTGTGGGACTGTGTATGAGTTACTTTTCCCTCTTCTTGCTGGAACAAAATACCTCAGCACCCAAAGTCAAAGAGGGAAAGATTTATTTATCTCACAGTTTGTAGAGGTTTTAGTCCACAGTCAGCTGGCTCCAAGGCAGGGTGGTGTGGCAGAGGGCCACCGTTCACGGCAAAAGATAGCAAAAGCAACCAAGGGCAAAAAAGGGGTGGGGGCGAACAAGTCTCTTTTCCTCTATTACAGGGTAAGCAGGTGTAGCACTGACACCACACCCCAGCCCTCCTGTTTCATTGGCTCAGGATGTCTACAAAGTGAGGACCCTGTGCCCTGCTGAGTCAGTTAAACTTCTAAACTGCTCAAATTGACACAAGAATCAACCATTACAACATCCTAGAGGGTGGACAGTTGCCCTAGGACATGTCCTCCCATCCTAGGATGCAGAACTGCTGAGTCACTTAGTTAAGCTTCTAAGCTGCTCAAGTCCAACATGCATCACCATTGCAGCCAGGTTCGGCTTACTGAGCAGCACGGAGACTATCACTTAGTCTCAAGAGACACTGAATACAAAAGTGCGCCAGGAGCAATTTCCAGTGCACAGCTGTCACTCCAAAGGTATCACCTACCCAGCCAGACCGCAGTGAGTGGCCCCACCAGCCAAGCAATGACTCCTCCCAGTCTCTAACATCTTCCCCTCACGCTTTAGGGACCCTCCTAACAGGCCTGCTGCTCCGGGGTTAGAACTAGCAAGAGGAGCGAGGCTGGTACAAGCAGATCAGACGGGAGCCTGCCTGCTCCGCCCAGGTGGTAGTTAAGGACCTGGCGCAGTGGCAGTCCTGGAAACTGTAGCTGTCTTTTACTCACATGAAAGAAATACTTAGAGAGAGAGAAAGAGAGAGAGAAAGAGACAGACAGAGAGAGACAGAGAGAGAGAGAGAGGAAAGAAAACTTCATGTAGCAATCTGGAGAGCATGCTGGGGGTGATTTCTCCAAGTTATTAATTTTTCTCCTATTGCTAAAAATTTTCAACCATGTAACTCTGGACTTTTAAAAAAAAAACTTTTTCTCTACATTCTAACACTTGACTTTTTAAGCAATATTTTAGTTTAGCAACAGCATGAAACAAATATTTGTATTGAAAGTAACAATTTACGTAGTCCAAAGTCTGCAGAGAGGTTCTACCGTCTGTTTGGAAGTTCTCAAGGTCTAACAATTGTTTGGAATCCTTTATCTAGAGGACTTTTTAACAAAAGAAATTTAATAAGGCTTTTGCTTTGTTGTTTTGCTTTTTAAGATTTAAAGCTATCCCACTCTGGTATGTTTGCTATAGTCTCCCTGAGTGCCTGGGGGGGGGGGCATTCACAGCTGACTGCCTGGTTGGGGGAAAGTTCAAGGTGAAATAGAGATCACGGGGCAGGGGGGGCACTCCTATGTGCTCATAAGATGACACAGTCTCCCCCTGGCACCCACCCCCGCACAGCCTCTGAGAATCCAGCCTTGCACCCAGGAAGCCAGAAGACGCCCAGGCTGAGTGAGGACCTCACCGAAGCCACCGTGGGGACAGGGGAGGGACCAGATCCTGGGCCAGATGAGGAGGTGCTGCTCAAGGATGCAGAGGAGGTCAGCGAGAGCTCAGAGGACCCCTACGATGACCACCTGTACGTGTTCATCACTGGGGAGGAGCCCAAGCCCACTGCGGAGCCCCCCGCCTGCTGTGCACCCCCGCTGCCCCCACCACGCTCAGCCTGTGCGGCGCTGCCACCTGAGAAACCTCGCTCCCCCTCACAGGGTAAGTCGGGAACAAACAAGAGGGACACCTTGACAGGCTCCTGGACAGCAGAGGGCCTAGGAGGGACAAGGCCTGCTGGGCTCCCCTCCTTTCCCATCCCTGCCCTCTGAAAACGCTCTCCACCACCTACCTACGATGCCAAGTGACCTGTTAAGTTGTCTCCTGAAAGCCACCAGATGGAAAAGACAAAACAAACCAAGAGCCACTGCTTTTCCTTTAGCGCTGAGTGTGGCACTGCGTTGCAACTCTCCATCTCCGAGGGCCGAGACCACTGGAAGTCATGGAGCAGAAAATGCCAATCTTTTTCTTAAAGATTCTTAAAGTCTTTTAACAGTAGCACAGTAGGTGGCCACTTTTTACCACAGATTGCATTTCGCTCACTTTAGCTGGTCTTAACTTCAGGAATCGTTCTTTAGATTAAATCCCATCTGCCCCAGAGCGAGTGACAGGGGAGAGGTGGTGGCATGTGGGGCCAGAACAGCAGATTCCTCAGGTGGGTTTACAGACAGCATCCCTGGAGCATGATAATCTGCTTTTCAGCTTGCAAAGAACACAATATCTCTCTGTATCTTCACAACCACGGGCTTTGACTTAGACGCAGGACCACACAGCCTGTAGCTGAAATGTGTGGAATTCTCTGCAGAGGTTTCCTGGATTTCGAGGATTCTCCTCTCTTCCACAGCTCAGGGCAACTGCTGAAACTTTTTTAACCTGCTCTGCTATTTATCTTTCCTTGTAGATTCTAAATTTTTCCACTCGGATCCCCACTTGGAAATTAAATAATTTCTTTTTGATCAGATTCTCATTCTCCAAATGAAAGCAAATTGAAAAAAAGATGAGAACAGCCAACAACAACAAAAAGGCATTTTGGTGGCCAAGCAGTCCTTTCAATCTGCTCATGAGCTGAAGTATTTCTTATCTTGGTTTTAAATAACTGCTATTAAAATGTTAGCATATTCTTATAAAGGTTTGTAAGGATTTTACTGGACCTTGTTATTTTTATGTAAATTAAACCTCAACTCACGGATTTATTGTGTTGTCTTTTATGCCATCATCGTCACCTGTGAGTGAGGTCTACACTGGCTTTGGAAGAATCGAATTGTGTTTCTGAAGCTCAGTTTGTCACAGCCAGAAAAGACTGCAAGAGGGTTAAGCAGCAGGTCCTTTACCTATTCCCTATTCCCCAGCATTTTCAGAGAAACCGAATTTTAGGCAAAATATCCAGTGCAAGCAATATGAAAGGTAAAATGACCAAGTGACAATATGTAAGCATATTATGCTTAACGAATGTCCTTTTTCAAACCTTTCAAGTTTGAGACTTAGATTGATGCCTCAATTTCCTGATATTAAAGATATGTATACATATAAAATATGGAAAATACTTATGTTTTCAAAGAAATCCATGTCTTAAACAAAATATTTTTTCTTTCAAAAATTAACAGTAGCAAACTATAGAAAGGCATGTTAGTAAATTATGCAGCTCACTTTTCTTTTGGGGTTTGTGAGGTAAGACAGATTATTTTTGTGGATCTTGTACGTTTGATTAAGCTACTTTGAAAGGATGCTCACATGACAGATGGGGCCAGTAGTGTGGCAAATCATAAAAGAATACACACAAGCTACATGTTTCAAATGCAGGCACATCCGGGGAAGGCCACCGGGAAAGAAGTCACAGCTGGGCAACACAGGCAGCACGAGATGAACCCAAAGGAGAAGAAAAGAAAGTGGATGGAAAGGAGTGGCAGGTGGAGGAGGATCCTTACACCTTCGAGGAGATTGAAGACAGTGAGTACGACATGATACTGTCCCAGATGAGCGTCAAGAGGAAGCCTGGAAGCTGGTCTTTCATTGTCAACAGACCTCCCGCCCCGACGCCGCGGCCCACCAACGTCCTTGCCAAAGAGGAAACCACACCTTATATCGCCCAAGGTAATGCATTATTTTGAGTGTGGATTCACCCTTGGTCCTTCTGTGTGTGAGAGGGTGAAATCTGGGTGTGTTACTTGTTTGGGTTTGGTTTGGTTGGTGGTGGGTTTTTTTTGGGCAGGGGTCCTTTGGAAGGAGTCAAGAGGGCATAAGATGGTGTGATCAATATTCTAAAACTGCAAAGATTGAGAGATATTTTCAAGGCATGGATGAGTTATAATGGCTCATAGTTTTACAAAATTTAGAAACAATGAACAAAAATATGAAAATTATGACTTGGGTTCTGTTTTCTAATTCCTTGGTAAGAAGGATAACTTTGACAAACCCTCTAAGGAAAATGAACCCATAATATACACAGGTAACCCTTTTATAAACCCACATGCAGGAAGCTGATGTCCTGCAGACTGTGCATCACAAAGAACATTAAAGTGTGTGCCACAGATCCACCTAAGAGATACACAGTTGTTCACCACACTTTTTACTTTAAAAAATCTAGTCTTGAAGCTAAATGTATTGAGATATTTATATGAGAAAATTTATAAATATATACAAAGTTATCCAATATATAATATTTATTTAATAGTGATCAACTGCTGATAGTGGTCAACAAACTGTAGCAAATTAGGAACTGTAACAAATTAATAAATATTTCAGCAGAAAACAGAATGTTAGCTGGAATAGTTACCTTGATTAAGAAGCTTTAAACAGAAATTTGAGATTTCTAGCAGTCTTCTCCAGGATATTATCTCATTGATAAAATTGCTAAATGCTAATAAACCTTTTGGAAAGGAGAAAAATAGGTGTTACAGGACAGGATCCCTGAGTTACAGCCTACAGATCTCTGAAAAGGTTCATGGTCTCCTGAGCTGTGGTCCTTAGGGAGGAGCCTGGGACATGTCCAAGGCAGGTGGCTTCCGGGGTGGCTTCCCGTCTTGCCACTGGCCATCACATTCTTGTTCCCCAAGGTCTCTTTCTTGTTCTCTGCTCTTTTTTTACAGCATCTTTTCTCAGAGTATATGTCGGGGGAGGAATATAATACAATATATGTGTTACTATTTTTCTCTATTTCATTTTGGGTTTTTAAATGTCTTTTGTTTATGTTTTTATTTTTCGGCTACTGTCATGTTGTCTCCGTTGTGATTATTTGTTATCAAACAACATTTCTGTCCACTGTGGCTGTCCTGAGTTAAACTTTCTTGCTTCAGTCCGAAGCTCCAGGAGCCTGAATGGAAAGGCCACCTGCTAGAGTGCGGGCCCATTGCCAGGTGATGGGAAGCAATCAGCGCTTAGACCGAGTGATAGCTAGAGGGCTGTATCTCCAGGGCTTTGCATCGTTTCAAAATGTAATCTGGATAACTCCAGTCTTCACTTCCGGCCAGCACACTGAGACTGGAGTGGGGAAGAAGACGGGGACATTTCTGCATTTAAAGAAACAACTGAACTTTTTCTGGCTACTTCCTGCCTTTTTCCTACAACTTCCATTCAGTTTCCTTAACGAGTAACTTCCAGTCATGATTGATCATCCCATTCCACTGGGTCGAGGCAGGAATGTGGGACTGTGGCTGCGTTAAAGTTTCAGCTAGTCCCCGTATTAAATAAGGGCTCTCAATGATTTCCCCCCACGCTCATTTTGTTATTAATTATACAGTGTAAAGATGTACTCAGTGCTGGTAGTAAAGTTTTCCTGTGTATTAGCCACATAAATTCTCTATATTGCAGTGCGACAAGTTGTCCTATATGTATAAGCATACATCAGAAATTTAAAGAATCATAAAAACCTTTGGTTTCCATTTGGAATTTTAAATGTGGTGCTGAGACACGGTGCTGTAGGCCTTCTATTCTAGCACTCGGAAGACTGAGGCGAGGAGATCATGAGTTCGATGTCTGCCTCAGCTACACATGCCTGGAAAAACATTAAAAACTATAAAATAAGCAAAACAAGAAATTTTGAATGTTACTTATTTCACCTGCCCATCCTGAGTCTGTCACCCTCCAACACTTGTCAGACACCGTTCTTATTTCATTAGGCAGTTACTTTGCTTTGATGGTACTTGCTTGGCTCGCCGATGAGAACCAGTGTTGTTTTATTTACTTTTGAGACTAAGTATGTTAGAGAGACACAGTATTTTCCTCACCTCCCAAATCCGCAGCAAAAGCCAGGCTGTAAGTGAAGTCACCGAAGCCCTCACAGGATTTTTTTCTTCCTTTCCTCTTGCCCTGGAATGGGCTTCCTGCCTCCGTCCTCTACGGCACTGATGGCTGTGCCTCGCTAGAAAGCGATGGCCCTATCAGCTCGTCAGCTCCTTCTTTCTTGATGTTTTCTGCATTTCACACGATAAGTTCTCACCATCCTCCTCCCCCAGCTCAGGCAGCCCGATTAAAGTGGATCACCACCAGTTTCCAGAGAGCCACCCAAGGAAGGAAGAGAACGTTCATTTTCCCCAGTGTCTGCCAGAGCACAGAAGAGGTAGCAGGCCCATCTGGGGTACACCTGAGCCCAAGGAAAGGGAGATGGAGTAGGCGACAGAGGAAAAATACAGGATGCAGAGTCCCGATTTCCCATTGCAGGAAGTTGAGGAAGTACTGCCAGGGCCTGGCAGATGGCGAACCAGGGGGAGGTGCTGATAGACAGGGAGGAGGAGTGAAGGGGCGGGGAGGGGAGGGCAGAGAGGAGGGAGACCGTGTCGGCTTTGCAGGGAGACCTGTGTGCAGACTTTGCTCTGTTACTTGAGCATGTGACCTCATATAACATAGATCTGATTTCTGCATAGTAAGTTGGGGATTCTCTTTATCTGTGAAGAGAAAAAACTGAGTAACACCCAGTACACCGCTTGGCATGCGGTGCGTGTCCAACACGTGGGAATTTAAAACAGTTCTCCTTTGCTTTTCTCAGTGTCTGGACAAAGGGAAACTGATGAACTCATGATGTGGATAGTGTGTCTCTCGGCTTCCGGTGGAGTTGGAAAATAAGGAAAGTGGGATCAGAGCTGGGTGCGTAAGGGAAAGAGGACCCGTCCTCTTCTGTGGCAGGTAAAGCCGGCTCAGTCAGCTCACGTTAACAGCTGCCAGGCAGGGTGTGTGACGGTTTCTAATGCACACAGCAGTCACCCAAGGCTGGCAGGCATAGCCCCTCTGGGAAAAAAGTTCCTCCATGAGTTTCAGCATCTTGCCACATAAGAAAAACTAGAAACAGGGAGAGGCAGGCTCCACCTCTCTCTCTCTCTCTCTCTCTCTCTCTCTCTCTCTCTCTCCCTCTCATGCCTGCACTTGTCCCATCACAGATTTTTTTCTCATAAATTGATTTTTGCACTGCTCCCATTTGTTTCCTCCTGTTTTATCCTTCCTGTTTATCTCCGCTCATAAGATCCATGAAAGAAGAGACCAACCCCATCTGGTTCTGCTGTCTCTCCATCTTGGTGAATTAGTGCCAAATTCAAGACAGAACCATGAATAATAGCAGCATGAGTGAATGATAAAAAGTGGCACAGAAGAGGTAGCAGGCCGTGGCCCACCTGGGGTACACCTGAGCCCAAGGAAAGGGAGATGGAGTAGGCGACAGAGGACGAATAGAAACAGGGAGAGGCAGGCGTTCTCTTCCTTCCTTGGGTGGCTCTCTGGAAACTGGTGGTGATTCTTTTTAATCGGGCTGCCTGAACTTGGGGAGGAGGATGGTGAGAACTTATCACATGAAATACAGAAAACATCAAGAAAGAACGAGCTGATAGGGCCATCGCTTTCTAGCGTGGCACAGCCATCAGTGCCGTAGAGGACGGAGGCAGGAAGCCCATTCCAGGGCAAGAGGAAAGGAAGAAAAAAATCACATGAGGGTGTCGGTGACTTCACTTATACCTTATCAGTGCGGCTAGAATGAGACACTCCATTAACACAGATGATCTCAAGTGTACATCAGTCTAGTAATTCCTAAATTTCTGCCAGCGTCCCCAGTATTCTAAGCGCTGGAACAAATGTTCCAATTTGAAGGGATGATGCCACAACAAATGGAACAAAGCCGGACGGTCACATGTGGCTAAGCTTTCTTTTTTTTTTTTTTTTTTGTCTTTTTCATTTTTATCGGTACCGGGGATCGAACTCACGACCGCCTGCTTGCAAGGCAGGTGCTTATGCCGCTGAGCTAAACCCCCAGCCCCTTAAGCTTTCTAACTAGTCACAAAGCACAATGTCCCCTCGCTACTGTCTCTCAACGCAAAACTGCACACCGGTAGGTTCACATTATCAAGGGATGTGTCTCTGATTTTTCATTCCATTGTTGTGCAATCTTACACTAACAATCACAAGGAAAATTTGTTTCTCTTTAAAGTTTTTGAAGTTCGGAAATTTTCAGATATCATCTTCTCTCCACCCTTTTCTCCCTGTTTATGGAAAAAGATTGTGGTCATGAAAAGTTTAGAGTAGAGAGGAATGAACACGGGTCTACAGTCTTCCTTAGTGACATGAGTCTTGATGTAAGACAGATCAAGGAAAATACACGTTGGCATGGTGTAGATAGATTGGCAGTGAAACTAAACCTGTAAATCACACCGAGAGATGAAGGACTAATAGGAGGAATCTTTCAACATCAATGGACAATTTTCCACCTCTCTCCAGTTAATAGAATAAAAATCCTTCCGCAGTGTCCCTGTGACTGATTTGGGGTAAAATAAAATTCCCCTTTCAATTTTCAATTGCTGTAGAGTTTTCCTTGGCCTTTTGCAGTGCAAAGATGTATGTGACGTTTCTGAGAGCTTCTCAGCTACTGGGACCCTAAAATGTCAAGTACACCTCAGTTGCTCTCAGAAAATTTCCACTTACAATTCACCTGTACTTCAAACTGATCACACGCAACACAGTTGCAATGAAAAATAAAATAAGATAAAATGAAAGACCTTGTAGACTCTCTTGGGAAAATTAATCCTCATCCTTGTAAACGTGACAGGGAAGAGTGGTCCCTGTTCTCCTCAGGAAAGAAATACTGCCAAGTGCACTAAGGTGGGTCTTAGATCAAG